AAAGAGAAGTACAAATGAAAAAAGACTGAAGAAAGACTTCCGGAACTATCTAACTCCATGAGGAAAGGAAATATAAGAGTTATAGGAATCCCAGAAGGAGAGGAGAGAGACATAGGAACAGAGAAAATATTCAAGGATATAAGATCAGTGAAGTCAAGTTCTGGCTCTTTCAAAAATTAAACAAAATCAACAAGCATTTAGCTAGGCTTAAGAAGAAAATAACAGAGAAAACCCAAATTAATAGGGTCAGATTTAAAGAGGTGAAATTACAACAGATGCTGTAGAAACACAATGGATCATAAGAAACTACTTTGAACATGTCTATGGAAATAATTTGGAAAACCTAGCATGAATGTACATATTTTCATATTCATATTTTCTCATATTCAAACTTTTCCTGATAAACCAGGTTGAAATGAAAAACCTAAAACATCAAATCAATACTGCAGAAATTCCAAGAGTGATAAAATATCTCCCTAAGAACAAAAGTCCACAAACACACAGCTTCTTTACTGAATTCTACCACACCTTCAAAGAGAATCTAAAGCTTAACCTACTCAAATTCTTCAAGAGATCAAAGTGGGTAGAAATCTCCCCAACACATCCTATGAGGATAATAATAACCTGATTTCAAAACCAAACAAAGGCATCAGGAAAAAAAAAAGAAAACTATAGATTGTTATCCCTGATGAACATGGACTCAAATTCCCCAAGAAATTGCTAGCAAAATGTATTCAGCAACACATTAAGGGAATCATTCATCATGATGGAGTTATGTTTCATCCCAGGGATGCAAGATTGGTTCACTATATGCAAAACAATTAATGCCATTTACCAGATCAACAAAAAGGAAGACAAACTCTCAGATCATTTCTATAGATAATGAAAAAGGACAAGGCTGAACATCCATTTATAATAAAAGCACTCAATAAAACTGGCATAAATAGCTCTTAAATACACATTCAAGTCACACATGACAAACCCACAAGTCACATCATACTAAATGGTGAATATCTGAAAACATTTCCACTAATATCATGAACAAGTCAAGGATATCCCCTGTCATCACTATTGTTCAATATTGTGCTGGAATTCCTAGCCTGAGCATTTAGGCAACAAGAAACTATAAAAGGAATCAAAATTGGAAAAGAAGAAATGAAAGTGTCCCTATCTGCGGATGGCATGATAATATACATAGATAATCCAAAGGTCTTTGCCAAAAAATTATTAGAAATAATAAATGGCAGGATACAAAATCAAATCACAAAAATCAGTTACATTTCTGGGCCTCCCCGATGGTGCAGCGGGTTGAGTGCAGCGCTGTGAGGCAGTCTGCAGCCTCTGCAGCACAGGTTTGATTCCCAACCAGCCAGGGAGATTCCCACATGGCACGTCAGACCTCTCCTGTCGCGCCCGCTGCTCCCCTCAGCAGTGCTTTTGTTCTGTCTACCTGTTCTGTTCCCCGTTCTGTCTCTGGCGAATCCTCTCACCCTCCCACGCCTCTGGCCTGTACCCCAGCTACTGTATAAATAAAAAATAAATCTTTTAAAAAAAGAAAAAAATCAGTTGCATTTCTGTATATAAACAATGTATCAGAAATAAAGAAAACAATCCCATTCACAATAACACGAAAAAGAATGAAATACCAGGAATAAATTTAACAAAGGTGTTGAAGAATCTCTACATTGAAAACTATAAGATTTTGTAAAGGAAATAAGATACAAATAAATGGAAAGATAGTTTATACTTATGGACTGGAAGAATAAGTTTCATCAAAATAGACATATTATCGAAAGCAATTAGGGATTCAATGCAATATCTAAGAAAATTTGAATGACTTTTTAAAAAGGAAATTGAACAACCAATAATAAAATTTGTATGAAATGACAAAGTAACTCAAATAGCTAAAGCAATCCTGAGAAAAGAAGAAAAATGAAGGCATCACACTCTCTGACTTCAAACTATATGCCTTAGCAAAAATAGTAAACACAGCATTGCGTTGAAACAACAAAAAAGAAATAAACAAACAAAAACCAAAAACTCAGACCATTGGAATAGAACAGAAAACCCAGAGACAAACCTACATGAGTACAGACAGTTACTCTTTGGCAAAGAAGCCATAACCATACAATGGAGAAAGGAAATTCTCTTTAACAAACAGTGTTTTGAAATCGGATAGTTTTATGAATAAAAACAGGAAACTAGATCCATAATTTATTCCACACACAAAAAATTAATTAAAAATGGATTAAAGGTCTTTGGCTCTTATATAAGAATCAAAACCTTAAAAGAAAACATAACAGATACACTACAGTACATAACTTGGTCAAAAATGCCAAAAATGAGCAAAAGATCTAAATACACCTTTTTCTACAGTAGACATTCATACTTATGGACATATGAAAAAGTGTTCAACATCAGTTATTACAAGAGAAATGTAAATCACAACCACAATGAATTATCATCCTCCTCCCCCCACCCCCACACTGTGAGAGTGGTCAATATCAAAGGGAATGGAAACAAATGTTAAGAATGTGTTGAACACTAATGATAAAGGACTGATCACAAAAATCTTCAAAGAGCTGATGAGGCTCAACAACAACAAAGAAAAAAATCCCGGCAAAAAATGGTCAGAAGAGCTAAAAAGAAACTTCTCTGAAGAGGAAATGCAAATGGCCAACAGGCATATGAAAAAATGTTCAACATCACTTGTCATCAGGGAAATGCAAATCAAAACTACCATGAGATACCATCTCACACCAGTGAGAATGGCACATTTTAAAAAAAACTAGCAACAACAAATGTTGGCGAGGGTGTGGAGAAAAAGGAACTCTTCTGCACTGTTGGTGGCAGTGCAAACTGGTCCAACCACTATGGAGAGCTGTGTGGAGATTTCTGGACCTACTAAACATAGAGCTTCCATATGATCCAGCAATTCCACTCCTAGGTATTTACCCAAAGGACACAGAAACATCAATCCCAAAGAGCACCTGCACCCCTATGTTTATAGCAGCACTATTTACAATAGCTAAGCTTTGGAAACAACCCAAATGCCCAAAAATAGATGACTGGATCAAGAAGATGTGGTACATGTATACCATGGAATATTACTCAGCATTCAAAAAAGATAAACACATGCAATTTGCAGCAACATGGATGGCGCTGGAAGGGATCATGCTCAGCGAAATAAGCCAGAAAGAAAAAGAAAAATACCGGATGGTCTCACTCATAGCAGGAATCTAGAAAACTTAAATAAGGGACCAGGAAAATGAATAACTATAAGAAAGTGAAAATCAAAATCAACAAAAAACTATGAACCAGAGACACTCTATGGGGGGTAGGGGGCGGGAGGGGAGGGATTGGGGTCAAAATAAGGGGGTTGCAATTGTATGGGGAATATAAAAATAAAATTTATTAAAAAAATAAAGTGATTATTGGTATGCGCTAAAAAAAAAAAAAAAGAAGAATGTGTTGAAAAGCAACTCTCATCCATTTTAGGTTAGAATGAAAAGCTCCTACAGCCTCTGGGGAAAATGGTAAGATTTCTTAAGACAATAAAAATGGAAATCCCAAATGATCCAGCAATATTTCACATTTATCTTATGTAGTCCAATGTTCATAGCATCACTTGCATCAATTGCCAATTCATGAAATCAATCTAAATAACTATCAACAGACGAATCAATAAAGAAGCTGTGGAAAATATACTCAATGGAAAACTACACAGGTATTAACAAAGAGGAAACAGTTTCTTTTGGGACAAAACAGATGGACATCATGGTGATTATGCTAAATGAAATAAGTCTGAAAGTGAAGGACAGATATTGAGTAGTTTCATTTACCTTTACGATATAAACAAATGAAAAACATACAGTGTTAAAATACAGCAAAACCAAAATCAGTGAACTGATTACCAGAGGGAACAGGAGGGAAGGAGTAGTGATTACTGGAGGGAACTACATAAGGCATTGGTACTGTTGGTTTGGAGGAGGGTGAGTGGAACACGCAGATATGGAGGAGTAAAAATGTAAGCGCAATGTTATATATATATATATATATGTATGTATGTATGTATGTATATGTATATGTATATAACACTGCATTTACATTTTTACAATGTTATATATACACATACATTTTTACAATGTATACATGCAATATATACATTTTTACAATGTTATATATTACAATGTTTTATATATAATTATATATTTACAATGTCATATGTCAAAGTATATTAATTTTTTCTTTGTTACAAATTATCTTCTCTTCTATATTCAATATTTTTTGTTACTTTAAGTCAATACACTTTTTCAAGTTTTTAATATTATTTTTTATCTTTCCTTGGTGCTTACTCCCCTTATAGTTATCATCCATTCTTTCACATCATCTAATTTTTACACTCCCCTTCAAATCTTAAGTATCTCATATGGGTGGTTTACACCAACTAACTTCAATTTCACACCTCCTAATCACTCTTCAACCAACTGGCTTCTGCTCTAATGACTACGCTGAAACTATTCATGCTAACTAAATTCACTAACAGACTTAATTCACAAAGTAATAGATATTTTTCAGTACACAATTTGCCAAATACTCTACTATACATGATGCATTTGTTCACTAAATTTTCCCGAAGAGTAGACATCGGACACCTGGGTTCTTCATCCGGTAATTCCTTTATATTTTCATCTTTCTCTAGAAAATCCTTAAATTTTAGTGGTCTCCACAATTTCCTCATCAACTCAAGAATTTTCCCTATGTACACTCTCTTCTGGATTGTCTGAAATACCCCCTAGGTTCGGTTCAATTATTACCTTTATGCTGATGGTTTCCAAATATATTTACCTCTTTGAAACCTCAGAAATTTACACTTATCTTATTGAAAATTTTAAAACCTGCTCCTTCCTTTGGAACCAAACAAGACATCAGTGTAAAAAAAATAATAACAGTACAAAACACAACAAAGCAAAAACAGACAATTATAAATCAGAGACATGCTGCAGGGGAGGAGGAGGGAGAGGTATCAGAGGGAGGGAGGGAAGAGCACAGGGGACTGTGGTGATGGTGCACGGGTGCATTGGTGAGGGAAACTCTATGGGGACTACACCTGAGGGGGTGGGGGGAAGCAAATACTGTTCAAAAATGAACAATGATGTAAAAATAAAAAAAAAATAAATGAATGAATAAATACCATAAACAAAAAGAAATTTCACCTGTAAATACCAGTTCCAACTGGTACCAGAGAGCTCCAGCTTGCATTGCCTATTCTCTGGATTTTAGACTTGTCTAGCCAGTCCCCAAACTTGCATAAGACAATTCTAATTGCAGTATATGCACTAATATTTACCTCTTATTTTCTGTTTATCTTGTTGAACCCTGACAGATATCCCAGCTAGTAATATTTCACTAACCTGTCTCTAATTCATTCATCTGTGATTCATTCTAACTATGGATTACTGAACTCAGGTTTCATCATGTATTGTCAGGATTATCACAAAAGTATCTTAAATAGTCTTCTCTCCCTAATCTCTACACCATCCTGCACATGGCCACTAGTATGATTATATGAAATATATATGTGATCACAGCACTCTCAAAAACTTTCAGTGAGTTCTCATTTCTTACACATTTATCTCGAACTTACCTAGCATTGCACACAAGGTTCTCACGGTCATGCTCCAGCTTGCTGATGTAGCTTCATCTCTGTATTCCAGGAAAATAATTATAACTGGTGATTTATCTACTATCCACTTCCATCCACCAACAGAAACAGGCCATCTCCGCTTCTGTCACGGGTCATTCTATTCTCACTGCTTTAAGTTCTTCCTCTATTTGCCCTTTTATCATCACCCAGCCTAATTTAATACTTCTACTCCCATTTTAACAATTCAGCTTAGATAATGATTCACATGGGAGGCCATCCCTGACCTTCGTAATCTATGTTGTATAGACTCTTGTATTCCCTCTAAACGTTCTGTACCATTACCTATTATAGACTATTACTTGGAATGATTAGCGTATCTGAAATATTTTCAGATACAGATAAACACCTACAAATTGAACATCTTCTCTAGAACATCAAAGTAAAATTCAATAAATTATAAATAATCAGTATCATGAAAACCCAGTTATATGTACTAAGTGCAATTAAATAAAAAAATAACAAAATATTAAGCTATAAAATATTCATGTACCCGTGTATAGATTTCTTTTTTTTTTTTTAAGATTTATTTATTTATTTATACAAGCACTGGGTACAGTCAGAAGCGCGGGAGGGTGAGAGAATTCACCAGAGCCAGAACGAGGAACAGAAAAGGCAGACTGATGAAATACACTGCTGAGGGGAGCAGCGGGCGTGGCAGGACAGGTCTGTCACACCATGTGGGACCCTCGCCTGCCGCCAGGGAACGAACCGGCGCTGCAGAGGCTGTGGGCACCTTCCCAGCCCAGCGCTCAACCACTGCGCCACCAGGGGAGGCCCCCATGTATAGATTTCTAAATGCCATCATCCACTAAAGGACATAAGAACTCTACAGAGAAATGTTCAGTGAGGCAGGAAATAAAAGATAATCCTGAAAATAAGGAAGTAGGGTGCGGACTTCTAGTAAGTCCGAGACCTGGGACACGACGGTGAGGGAAATTTGACATGGGGGACTGTCATGTCTAGCATGCAGTAAATTTTTATTTTCTTAGTGCTCATTATATACTATTTTAATTGCAGCAGGTGTAACATCAAAGCATACCATATAATGATAACATGTATGAATGATTAGTTTGTTTTCTTACTATTATTTATTTACTTCAGACAGTAGGGTACCAGGTGGTTAGTTCTCACGCACATAATCTTATCGCCCCCTAGCCAGAGCCTGGGAAGTTCGCTCATTATTTTTGTTATTCTCAAACTGTGGAGATGTACGCAGGTCACTTCCAGGCTCTCAACACCAAGTCCTGCCACCTAGAGGTTTTCCTCCGAGACACATGTGTTTTCACATGCCTTAGGGACTCAGGTCAAGGCCCTTCTGCTCACTGCGCAGGGTCTCTCCATTTTGTTATTCTCAGACTGTGGAGATGTATGAAGCCTGACTCCACGCAGGTCACCTTCCAGGCTCTCAACACCAAGTCCTGTCACTCAGAGGTTTTCCTCCGAGACGCATGTGTTTTCACATGCCTTAGGGACTCGGGTCAAGGCCCTTCTGCTCACTATGCGGGGCGTCCTCCAACAGTAGGGGAATGTTGAAGTGAAAATTTCTACCAATGATTGATGGGAACATGTTAAATAGAAAGAGAAACCAGCTTGAATGGACTGCCACTGGCTAAATCTGGGTATGGTTACATTACCAGGAGGGCAATAAAGGAGGTAGCTTGACTTGCTCTCAAGATGAATACCTAACAGTTAATTAGAGAAACACTATACTGAAAGAGTCCTGGGGTTCTGGATGAAACTGAAACACCCCTTGGACAGCAGAGACCAGCACAGAGAGCACTCAGGAAACATGGAAGAGATTAATACTTGATTGAACAGGATGTAGGTGGAGAAAAATACCTGAAGGCTTTGGTACAGTCTTGGGAACACAAGCTACAGAGCCAATAACTCAGCCAGGGGATATGGGAAAGCAGAGTGGAAAAGGTGAGGAGGCACACACCCTTCAAAGAGAGGACACTCATACAGAGGAGCTGGGGTTCTATGTATAGGCTGGATCCCTGGTAAGGAAATGAATAGAGAGGGCACTCTAGACTACACTCTCCTCCCACACACCTCCATATTAATATTAAACTCTGACCAGCACTGATGGCACAGAGACTTCTCAGTCTCAGATCTGAAACCCCAGAGAGAAGGGAAATTTTGTATATCATAAAAACTAGGGCCTCCCGGGTGGCACAAGGAGTGAAGTCTCAGCGCTATGAAGCTATCTGCAGCCACTGTAGCACGAATTTGATCCTTGGCCAGGGAGCTGACCCACATGGCACAGCAGACCTCTCCTGTCTCGCCTGCTGCTCCCCTCAGCAGTGCATTTCAGTAGATCCGCCTGTTCTGCTCCACACTTTGTCTCTGGTGAATCTTCTCACCCTCCACACCTCTGGCTACACCCGCACTCTTGTAGGCATAAATAAATAAAATAAATCTTAAAGAAAAACAAACAAACTAGTGAGGCCCCTTGTCCCAGCACACCAGCCCAGTCATCACCTTGCTGACTCAGCAACTGCAAACACAAACCAAAAAAGGCCTCAGTGCCTAATAAGCCAGCAAGTAAAATAAAATAAAGACAAACCATAGCGCCAAAGGTTATAAAAGTAAAAATAATTTCAACTCTCTAAATTACTAAGTTATGTTTTTAAAAATAGGGAACTTAGAAGTAGCAAAATGGGCGAAAAAAATATAACACACAACTACTCAGGATCTTAAGGGAATATGATATTCAAGAAGAGAACAACTCTTCAGAATCCAACCAAAAATATGTTAAAGGTTACATCTCCCTATCACAGAGAGTTCAAAATTACTATAATTAAGAAAATAAAAGTGATAAAAGAAAACTCAGGCAAGTGAAAGTGATATGAGAGAACTCTGAAAAGCTAATCAGACAAACAATATTGAGAAAAATCAATGAACACTGATGCTAAAATCCTGATAAAACCTTGGAAAACTGAATCCAACAATGCTTTAAAAAGATAACATACCATGACCTAGTGGGATTCATACCAGGGACACAAGGATAGCTGACAATCCGAAAATCAATCAATTTAAATGGGAAAAACAACAATAGATGCTGAGAAAGCATTTGATAAGATTCAACAGCCATTCATGATGAAAACCCTCGAAAAATTGGGGGTAAAAGGAATGTACCTTAACCCAATAAAAGCCACATGTGACAAAACTACAACCAGTATTATTCTCAATGGTGAAAATGGAAAACCTTTCCACTGAGGTCTGGTACTAGGATGTTAGGCAAGAGACAGCAATAAAAGGAATCCATATTGGAAAAGAAAAAGGAAAGATATCATTATTTGCACATGATATGATAACATACATAGAGAAACCCAGACTCCATGGGAAGACTAATTGAAATAATAAACCAGTTCAGCAAAGTGGCAGGAAACAAAATCAACGCACATAAATCAATTGTCTTCTTATATACAAATAATGAAGTAGAAGAAAATTAAGACAGTCATCTCATTTACAATCGTACCAAAAATACGAAATATCTGGAATTAAATCTGACAAAGGAGGTGAAGGATCTATTCAAGAAAAACTATAAAAAATTGTTAAAAGAAATGCAAGAGGACACAAAAAAGGGAAAGTTATTTCTGCTCATGGATCGGGAGAATGAACATTATCAAAATGGCCATTCTACCAAAACTTTTTTCATACCAAAAATTAAAAATTATGAAAATATTTCCCTGCTCTCTTTTGGTACAATTGCGAAAGCTATATATTTTGCTTTTGGGGGTGTAATGCCTTGTATATATCTCAGATTTACAGATTCAATGTACTTCCAATAAAAATCTCCATGGTGTTTTTCAAAGAAATACAACAAAGATTACCAAGAATTATATGGGACCACGAAAAATCCCAAAAGGCCAAAACTCTCCTGAGTAAAAAATGGGAAAATGGAAATATTAAAAGTATACTATAAAGCCGTAATACTTATGATACTGGAAGAAAACAGATACACAAGCCAATGGAATAGACCTGAGACTCCGGAAATAAAATCACACATTTCTGGACAACAAATATATGACAAAATAGCAAAGTACATACATTGGAACAAGGAGGCCTCTTCAATAACTGGTGCTGGGAAAACTGGACTGCCACAACAACAAAATGAAACGATATCATCACCTCATACAGTATAAGAAAATCAACTCAAAAGGGATAAAATACTTGAATGTAACATCTAAAGCCATAAAATACATAGGAGAAAACATAAGCAAAACACTCCATGACATAAACCTCAAAAACATCTTTGCAGACTCATCTTCAGCAGTAAGGAAGACAAAGGAGAAAATAAACAAGTGGGACTATATAAAACTAAAAGGCTTATGTAGAGAAAACGAGATAGTGAACCAGGGCCTCCCTGGTGGTGGCAGGGGTTGAAGTCTCAGTGCTTTCAAGCTATCACCAGCCACTGTGGCATGAGTTCAATCCTCGGCCAAGAGGCTCACCCACATGGTGCAGCAGACCTCTCCTGTTCTCACACACTGCTCCCTTTAGCAGTGTATTTCATTTGATCTGCCTGTTCTGCTCCCACTCTGTCTCCGGTGAATCTTCCTATCCCCCACAACTCTGGCCTATACCCCCAGCTCTTGTATGCATAAAAAAATAACATAAATACAAATCTTAAAAAAAGAGAGAGTGGCCCCCAAAACAGACACCCTACTGAAAGGGAGATAATATCTGCACACCATACATCTGGTAAGGGATTGATATTAAAAATCTACAAAAAGATTATACAACTCAAAAAAAAAAAAAAAAAGAGGAAAAAAAAAAAAAGCAACCTAATCAAAAAATGGGCAGAAGAGCTACTAAATAGGTACTTCTCTAAAGAAGACTTCCAATGGCCAACAGACATATGAAAAAATGCTCTTCATCACTTACCACCAGGGAAATAGAAATCAAAACCACAATGAAATGTGGTTTGAATGGCACACATTAAAAAAATCTGGAAACGGGCCTTCCTGGTGGCGCAAGGGTTAAAGTCTCAGCACAATCAAGCTATCACCAGGCACTGCAGCATGAATTTGATCCCCAGCCAGGGAGCTAACCCACATGGTGAAGCATACCTCTCCTGCTTCACGTGCTGCTCCCCTAAGCAGTGCATTTCAGTAGATCCACCTGTTCTGCTCCCCACTTTGTCTCTGGTGAATTCTGTCACTCTCTGCACCTCTGGCCTATACCCCAGTTCTTGTATGCATAAACGAATAAAAATAAATCCTTAAATAAATAAATCTGGAAACAAAAATTGCTGGAGAGGATGTGGAAACAGAGGAACACTCTTACACTGCTGGTGGGAATGTCAACTGGTCCAGCCACTATAGAAAGCTGCATGGAGTTCCTCAGAACATTATAAATGTATCTACCATATGATCCAGTGATTCCACTCCTAGGAATCTACCCAAAGGACACAAAAACACTAATTCGAAAAGAAACCTACACTCCTGTGTTCATTACATCACACTTAAAATAGCTAAGATGTGGAAAAAACATAAATATCCTAAAATAGATGTGTGATTCAAAAAGACGTATGCGTGTGTGTGTGTGTGTGTGTGTGTGTGTGTGTGTGTACACACACACAGAGGAATATCACTCAGCAATCAAAACAGATAAACTCATGCCTCATGCCATTTAGGGCAACAGGAGTGAACTGGAAGGGATTATTTTAAGTGAATTGAGCCAGGAGAAGAAAGAAATACTTGATGGCTTCACTTATAAGTGTAATCTAGAGAAACCAAACAAAGGATCAAAGACAAACAAAGACTGACCCTGGAAATAATAAAATGCATCTGAGACATTCATGTGGGGAGGGGGAGGGAGAGAGTAGACAACAGGGGGAAAGGAGAACACAATGAAGTATGATGGAGGACTATGGGCACTTCAGTAGAGGGAAAAATACGGTGACCACACCTGAGGGGAATACTCCTATATTGTGAAAAAATAAACACAGCTGTTTAAGGAAATGACACTATATTTAAAAGTGAGATTAATGAAATATGAATGGGATTCAAAAAATGTAACCCCACCAGCCTCGACCAGGAAGAGTTGGACCCTGGACCCTTATTGGGGATGGTGCGAGAGGGGTCAAAGCACTTGCCACCTTCTGGGAGAATGCACCGGCCCCTATCCACATGAGCATAGGTCTGGCAAGCTTCTGTGACACCCCATCAGCATCCACACAGACCAGCAGAGGCTTCACAACCTCCCACAACAGACAGCACCTGCCCAGACGATCAAAAGTCATGTGACTATAGGTCAATGCCTGCCTGGACCTACAAAAGCCTTGTGACTTCCCATGAGATCCTATCAGCATGCACAAGGACTGGTGAGACCCCAGACCGATGTAAGAAGGTAAGCCAGAGTGGCCAGAGCCCTCATGATTAGCCCTGAGACCCCAAAAGTGGCTCACACAGATAGGTCAGAGTGCTGTCCAGGGAGGGGGGAGGAGCCAGACACAGAGAAAATCCTACATACAGCAGTTAGATTTCAAAGCTGATAATGGGAAGAAGGAAAAAACTAACAAACGGTAACATGAGTCCCTAAACAAACAGTACAAAACAGAGAGAAAGTATCCAGAACCCCAAAACATAGATATGGAAGCTATGCTTCCCCTACCAGACACAGAGTTTAGAATTGCAATTATAATGAAATTAAAAAAAAAAAGTAAGGAAACTCAGAAAAAACAGATGAATGTCCTTAGAAATAAAACCAGTGAACTGAAAACAGCAAATGAGGCTCTAAATAAGATAAAAGTGGAGTTTCAGGATTTCAAAGGAGAAATACAATAGATGAAAAACTCAGGAAAAGTTGTGGTAGTGGAACAGATGATAAGTCAGTGCGGCAATAAGTCAGTGTAACTGAAAATGCAAATATAAAAAGGACCAGGAAAGAGAAGTGAAGAGAGACACAAAATAAAAAAATAAAAAAAAAAAAAGATGAAAAAAAAATCCGAGAACTATCTGGCTCCATGAGAAAAGTCAACATTAGAATAATGGGAATACCAGAGTGCCACAAAGGAACCAAAAATATATTTGAAGAAATAATGGAGGGAAACTTCTTAAAACTAGAGAAGGGAATAAATGTATAAATAAAGGAAGCTAAAACCGGCATACCCACCAATAGATAAAATGAGACAGATAGCAAGACATAGATAGTGAAATTCCAAACATACAGGACAAAAAAAACATACTGAAGCTGACAAGGGGGAGAGAGCAGTTACTATAAAGTTACCCTGATCAGGCTAATATCAGATTTCAAGAAACACTACAAGCAAGGAGAGAATGGAATGGCGTGTTCTGAATACTTAAAGAGAAAAACTGCCTCCAAGAATTCTCTATCATTCAAGACTACTCTTCAGGTACGAGGGAGGAAAAAAGGCCTTTTCAGACAAAGAGAAGAACAAGTAGTTTGCAAACACTAAACCTCCCTTCCAAGAAACAGTGAAAGGAACTTTCACATTGAAAATGATAAGAGGTGGGCCTCCCCGGTGGCGCAGTGGGTTGAGCACAGCACTGTGAAGCTGTCCGCAGCCTCTGCCGGTTCTTTCTGGCTGGCCAAGGAGCAACCCACATGGCGTGAAGCAGACCTCTCCAGTCTCGCCCGCTGCTCCCCTCAGCAGTGTATTTCGGTGTGTCTGCCTGTTCTGCTCCCACTCTGTCTCTGGTGAGTCCTCTCACCCCCCGCATCTCTGGCCTGTACCCCAGCTCTTGTATAAAAATAAATAAATCTTAAAAAAAAAAAAGAAAATGATAAGAGGAACATACACAAAGAACTAAATAAGAAATTAGTAGACCCACAAAAATTAAGAGCAAAATGGCAGTAAAGGGCTATCACATATCAATAATCATTTTAAATGCAAATAGACTGAACTCACCAATTAAAAGACACAGATTATCTGGCTGGATCAGGAAACAATCCAACCTTCTGCTGTCTTCAGGACAAACCTAGATCCAAAGACAAACATAGGCCGAAAGTAAAGGGTTGGAAAGGATTCAAACATGCAAATGAGACACTAGAGAAGGCGGGGATAGTCATACTTATAATAGACTAAAATTTCCAGTTGAAAAAGGTAATAAGGGAAAACAGGGGACACTATATAATGATAAAGGGAATGATACATCATGACTACATAACACTCATTAATGCATATGTTCCAAATGATAGAGCACCAAAATACATGAAGCATGTACTATCAACTGTGAAAACACACCCTGGATAAAACACATTTGGGATAGGAGACTACAACAACACACTCTCACGAATGGACATGGCAACTAGGAAGAAAACAGACAGATACAAGAGTCTTAGAGAAGCAGACTTCTTGGACCTCACAGATATATACAGGGCATTATACCCCCAAAAGCAGAATATATAGCTTTTTCAATTGCAACTAAAGAGAGCAGGGAAATATTTTCATACATGGAAACAAAACAACTTGCTACTAAAGACAACAGGTTTAATGAGGAAATCAAAGAAGACATTATAAAATACCCCCAAACAATTGAAAATGAGCACACTACCATCCAATATTTATGGGACACAGCAAGAGCAGTATGAAAGGGAAATATATAGCAATACAGGCCCACATCAAGAAACAAGAAAGTGCTCAAATAAACAATATTTTCTCTCAATTTGAGGGATTCGAAAAACAAGAACAAGCAAATCCAAAAACCAGGAGAACAGAAATAATAAAAATCAAATCAGATGTAAATGAAATAGTACTTAAAAAGACAGCCCAAAATCTCAATGAAACCAAAAGTTGGTTTTTTTGGAAAAATGAGCAAAATAGGCAAATCTCTAGAACGTCACCCCCCCCAAACTTGGAGAAACCTCAAATAAATAGAATCAAATATGAAAGAGGAGAAATAACAACAGATGCTGCAGAAATTCAGAGGGTAATTAGCAACTACTATATACAACTATATGCTAACAAGTTCAATAACCTAGAAAAGATGAACAAATTCTTAGAATTATACAATTATCAGAGGCTGACTAGGGAAGAAATAGAAACCCTGAACAAACCAATCACAAGCAACATAAGTGAAACAGTAATCAATACTCTCCCAAAAAATTAAAGTCCAGGACCAGATGGCTTCACAAGTGAATTCTACCAAACTTCCAAAGATAGAATATCGCCTTTCTTACACAAACTCTTGCAATAAATTGAAAAAGAGGAATACCTCCAAATCCTTTTTATGAGGCCAACATTATTCTAATACCAATCCAAAACAAAGACAACAAAAAATAAAATTACAGAACAATTACCTAAAGAACAGACATTAAAATCCTAGCAAACTGGAGGACCCCTCCATCCAGGCCTTGAAGATGAGTCCCCTTAGCCTTTCCACAGTGCTTCACCTTCTTCTGACCACTGTTGACTGTCACCCCGTGCGAAGTAACCAGTGTCCCTGGTCTGGTCCTTCTGCGTGAAGCAATCCCTTCCAGGTTTCCTGCAAGGCTGCCATCATCAGGTTCTTCTTCAAAGCCAACTCTGCGTTCTGTGAGACCTTTGAGGATGGTGGCTGTGATGCAGGGAGAACCACTTCCTGGATGAGGTGCAGCACCTCCACATATATGGTGGAAAAGATCCAGAGATCCTCACACCTGTGCTGCCCTGAGATGCTGATGTCAGTAGGCCCCACAGGATACCTGTGGCGGCTGCCCTCTGAAACAGTTCAGCCTCCTCCTCTGCTCCCTCTTCAGCAAAACCTGCCTCTTTACTTACTTCTGCCCATGGGACCACTTGTTTTTTGCTATGTATTTCTTAGACATCTAGCATCCTGAGAGCAGGAACCATGTAATTTGTTTTGTTTTTGTTTCTGTCACTTTATCACTAGCACTGACCACAGATCCTGACATAAAGAAGAAACTGGAATGAATAAATGAATAAAGGCATGAGCACATCTCTCTCCACTGGACGGTGTCTAGAACTAGAGCCTTGAAGGCAGGACTCTCATCCTGACACACCTACTCACCCCACCATCCCTGGGTTCTTTGGGATGGCAGCAGTGGAGTTTGTGACATTGGGGCTGAACATCAATGGTGGAATAAGTGTTTTCACTAAAATAATTTTTTTCCCCACAATGACAATGCACATTATCCAGTCTGTGGTTTCAAACTCTCAGGCCTTATATTTGAAAACCAATTCTGTTCTGTTTTAATAAAGGTAACTGGAGTGTGGAGAAAAAATCCTAGCAAACTGAAGCCAGCAATGAATAAAAACGATCACAAACCATGAACAAGCGGGGTTCATAAAAGGTACATGAGGATGATTCAACACCCAAAAGTCAGTCAACAAAATTCACCACATCAACAAAAAGAAAGATAAAAACAATATGATCATATCAATAGATGCGGAGAAAGAATTTGATAAGATCCAACATCCATTTATGTCGAAAACCCTCAAAAAATTGTGGATAAATGGAATGCACCTTTACATAATGAAAGGCATTTGTTACAAACCCACGGCTAATATCATTCTCAAAGGTGAAAAAAAAAAAAAGGTATAAGATTTTCCACTAAGATTTCCCACAAGAGAGAAGTCCTCAACAGGGCGGCAAATGGACTCTAGGATCAAATTCCCGCACGAAAACATCTGATAGGGAGAAATAATGGCGAGATCCTGGCGGGACCTGGACGAGTAAGACAATCTTGGCAAAACCTATGATTTGCTCAGACTCTGAGGGAATTTGGAAAGACTGGGGACGGGGAGAGAAAAAAAAACAGAAACTTTCTCCCCACCCCTCACCCACTGGAAGACTACATCCAGAAATAAGGGAGTAAAAGCTTGAAGACAAGAAGCCAGGGAATCCTGAGAAATCTGAGAGGTCCAGACAATGAAAGTTGGGCAAATCAAGGCCTCCCTACAGATATAGAGTGCGGGGTACAAGCCCCTTTGTTATGGCGCCTCCCACCATTCACCCTCCTGGAAATCAGCAGGGCCATTTAACCTGTGGCACTTATTAGCTGGAAGGAAATTAGGGGGAGCCTAACAGGGAACAGCCCTAAAAGGAAACAGCCCTACCCATCCTTTTGGTACCACAAGCCCTCATGTGAAGGAGGCTACAGGAAAACAATCTGACAAGTAAATGGATCAAAAGAGAAGGCGGGGGGCCTCCCTGGTGGCACAAGTGGTTAAGACACAACCTATGAAGGTCGCCAAAGCCACTACAGCACTAGTTCAATCCCTAGCCAGGGAGCTACCCACACGGCACACCAGATCTCTCCTGAGTCGCCCGCTGCTCCCCTCAGCAGTGTATTTCAGTGCACCTGCCTGTTTTGTTCCCCACTCTGTCTATGGTGAATCCTCTCACCCCCCACAACTCTGGCCTATACCCCAGTTCTTGTATGTAGAAATAAATAAATATTTTTTAAAAAAAGAGAGAGAGAAGGCAGGAACAGCTACACTTATATCAGATAAAATATACTTCAAAATAAAAAAAAAAAAGTAAAAAGAGACATAGATGGCCACTACATTATGATTAAGGGGACAATACATCTGGAAGACAGAACACTCATCAACATATACTCTCCAAATGAAGGAGTACCAAAATACATCAGATGGTTATTATCTCTGAAAACAGACATTAGAGAAAATACATATGTAGTAGGAGACTTCAACACACCACTCTCACCAATGGACAGATGAACAAGACAAAAAAATAAGAACACCAGAGCTCTAAATAATGACCTAGACCTCATGGGCTTAACAGACATCTATAGGACACTGCACCTCAAAAAATATGAGTACCCATTTTTCTCAAGTGACATGGATCATTCTCCAGGATCGATCACATACTGGGACACAAGACAAACATCAACAGATACACTAAGATCAAAATCATACCCACTATCTTCTCTGACTATAAAGGCATGAAGCTAGAAATAAACCATTAAATGAAAGCAAGGAACCCTCCTACCTCATGGAGATTGAAACCCACACTACTGGAAGACCATTGGATCAATGAGGAGATTAAATACTTGGACATCAGACTTGAAACCATAAAATATATAGAAGAAAATATAGGCAAAACACTACATGTCATTTAACTCAGTAATATCTTTAAGGACACATCCCCCAAAGCAAAGGAAGTGAAGGCAAAGATGAACAGCTGGGATTACATCAAATTAAAAAGCTTCTGTACAGCAAAGAGACATTGACCAAATAAAGAGACGCTACTGATCGGGTAAAATTTTTTGCACACAATACTGCTGATAAAGAACTGAACACACTGGGGCCTCCCTGGTGGCGCAAGGGGTTAAGCACCGCACTATGAAGCAATCTGCAGCCTCTGCAGCATGAGTTTGATCCCCGGCCTGCCAGGGAGCAACCCACATGGTGAGGCAGACTTTGCCTGTCGCGCCCTCTGCTCCCCTCAGCAGTGTATTTCAGTCAGTCTGCCTGTTCTGTTCCCCAATCTGTCTCTGGTGAATCCTCTCACCCCCAGCATCTCTGGCTTGTACCCCAGCTCTTGTATGCATAAATAAATAAATCTTTATATAAAAAAAGGACTGAACACAAAGATCTATAAAGAGCTGAGGAGACTCAACAAAAGCAAAGCAAACAATCCAATCAACAAATGGGCAAAAGAACTAAAAACACACTTCTCCAAAGAGGAGATACAAATGGCCAACAGGAATACGAAAAAATGTTCAACATCACTTGTAATCAGGGAAATGCAAATGAAATCCACAATGAGATACCGCCTTACACCAGTGGGATACGGCACACATTAAAAAAAAAAAAAAACAAAACACAACAGGGTCTCCCCGGTGGTGCAGCGGGTTGAGCTCAGCGCTGTGAAGCTGTCTGCGGCCTCTACAGTGCCGGTTTGATTCCTGGACAGCCAGGGAGATACCCACATGGCACAGCAGACCTCTCCTTCCTCTCCTGATGCTCCCCTCAGCAGTGTCTTTGGTCCATCTGCCTGCTCTGCTCCCCACT